AGTCCACAAAATTTTTTGATAGTACAAGGTGATTTTCATACTTAAAACAGTTGGCAACACTGGCTTTTCAGATCTGTGTGTTCACATTTTGCAACAGGTCTATCTTTCCCATGAAATATGACATTTTGGCTCTGGCTACATTCACCTCTTCTCCCATCCACTTTTATTATAATTTTTCTAATAATTGAACCATTTAATAGTATATATGTAGCATATGTAAGTTATAAAGTATAACGATATAATGAACATCTGGGAGACCATCAGCCAACTCAAGGGCCAGAACATTTCCAGTGATGTACATCCATCTATGTGTTCCTTCCTCAGCCATGCTCCTCTGCTACTCACTTAAATTTGAAACACAAATCCCATTAATGTTGAGTGCTTATCTCAGCAGCACTGAGGAAGGGGGATCTTGATTGGGGAATACAGCCAGGAAATTTTGGAGCATACTGGTCTGGGCCTCAGGAAGGTTCTGGGCAGCTAAACAGAGGTGCCTAGAAGGTGATCCTATGTGTCAAGCAGACTGTTCAGACCCATCCCCCCATCCTGCACCTGCTTGGCTCCAGCTCCGTGGACTCTGAGGTCAGGCCAGTAAGACTAGTGTTATAATTCACTCATATGCTGGAGTACATTGACTTTGAGAGTCAAGTTGAGCACCTCATCACCATTTACAGCATTGTTTCTGTGGGAGAGGAATTTCCAATACTGAGTGAGAGAACTGTGGAATACAACCTCTCTCGGTGAGTTGGGGGAAAGTGACATTTGGTAGATCAATAATAAGGATCTGCTTACAATGGATGGCCCGCCATAATGGTCAACTGTTTTCTGACCATTGCACATACATACAATTCTAGCATAAAATGGAGGAAAAGGGGGAAGGAGGGGAGGGAGAGATAGGAAGGGAGAGGGGGAAGAAAAGGAGAAACTTATTAGGAAGCTGAAAAGGTAGTTAGGATTTCTTTTTCTTTAATTAAATGTCCCTTTTCTATTCTAGAAATCAAAAAACAGACACCAAAGGCGGCAAATGGCAAAAGAAAAAAAAAATCAGTTCATGATAGCAGTGAAAAGCAAGCTAGGTAGATGACAAGCAGTGCATATATAATGTTGAAAATCTACATTTTGATCCTGGTTCCCCAGAAGACCAAGACCAAATTTTATCATTTATACATTATACAAAGTACCTATCCCTTTTATTGTACAAAATATTAAAATACCATGTCACCTCCTTTAAAAGAAAATACTCCAAATATT